CACTGAGGGCTTCAGTGCCCATTCTCCTCCAGCCCTGCCTGGGCAGCTCCTGGCAGCAGGATAGAGCTCCAGGAGCCAACGGCAGGAGCAGCTCAAGCAGGCACTGGCATCAGTCCCCAGGCTGCTCCTTCAGATGCTGCCATGTGCTCTGACCCCAGTAAGAGTGCTGGGCTTCAGGACAGTCCCAGTGCCACTGTGGCCTGGGAGCCATCAGTCTGTGCGGGCAGAGGATGGGCTCTCTCTTACCCCAGGCCTCAGCGGGGTAAAAGCTCAGAAAAAGTGTTCAAGGTTTTGTTTTTAAGCTTATGTGGCTGTGGGGGAGGAAGGAATAGGACTGGAGGGAGCTGGGGTGGCTTGAGAGGGCTAGCCAAGGCACGGGGGCTTTGCTGTGCTGCTTCAAACCCCACAGAGCCCATGCCCGGGCAGCATACCTGTGGAGCCTGACACTGTGCATTCTCTGAGCATCCCTCTGTGGCAGGTGACAGTCTCCACTGCTCCATCCCAGGCACCTCTTGGGCCCCGGGCACTCCCTGCACCCCTATGTTGCCCACATCCAGCCTCACCAACATGTTCTTGCTTGGAGCCCAGTGCTGCTCCTCCAACCCTCCCAGGTGCGTAGGCCATGAACCCCTCCAGTGGAAGGCCCAGAACAGGGTTTGGGTTACTTTGCACAGGCGTGGCTTCATGTCCAGGCCCTGTTGTGGACTGTCACGGGCACAGGTCACCGTTTGTGCTCACCGGAGCCGTTGCACACTCAGGCAGGCATGGGCAGGGCAGGCAGCAGTGGCAGAGATGTGCTGGTGGTGGTGAGTGGTGGTGGCATGGGACTGTCCCTGTCCCTGTCCCTGGCAGGGTGGCTGACAGAGGCCATCACGGCACAGATTCTGTCCCCATGTCCTGCGCTCCCCCTCCCCTGGGCTGCTGCCACTCTTCCCACACCTCTCGTTGTTGTTGTATGAATTGTAGTTCTTTTAAAAGGAGATTTTATTAAACGACCATGTTTGAGACCCATGCGAGTGTGTGGTGTGGGGCCCGAGGCTTGGGGGGCTCCTCTCGACAGTGGGGTGGGACAAGGGGACAAGAAGGGGGGATGCTGTGGTCCCCAAACCTTCCCTAGGGAACAGTGAGCAGCCATTCTGCTTCTGCAGCTGGAGTAGTGTTCAAATCCTTCCCAAGGGTTTTCCCAGGCACAGAAAGAGCCAGGGATAATTTTCTTGTCTCTCAGTATTTGCCAGGTTTCAGCAGGGAAAGGTCGGTGGGAGCCCCCGCACCCAGCCCTGCAGCACCCACCAGCCGCCCCCTCCGCCCCTTGCCCCTGGGGCCCTTAGCACCTCGGGGATGACAGATAAGGGCTATCGAGTCCCCGCATTGTGTGCAGCCCAGTTCCTTTGATCACGCCAGCCCCCCATCAAGCTGATACCATCTCTCCAGGTTTCAGCAGCCGGAGGTGGGTGCTGACTCACCGCCAAAGCACCCACCCAGGATGCTCCTCTCATGGGAGTCTCCAGCTGCACCCCTGGGCAATGCACACCCCAAATAACCCGAGATGCCCCCAGGGCTCAGTCCTGGGAAAACCCAGCCTAAAACCCACTCCTCTCTGCCGAGGTCCCCAAATTTGTCCTTCCTTTGTTCCCACAACCCAGCAATCTCTCTTGGAGCACATCCAGACATTTTGGGAAGCTCTAGCTTACAGTAAAATTTGACTGTTCTGCTGGGAAGACCCCCTTGCTCCAGGCATGGAGGCCACAGGAGCCCTGTGTGCCCTGGGAATCCCTGTCCCTACCACACATCCAGGCATGGAAGAGTCAATTGTCCAGGACCAAGGGCCCCTGATGCAGACACCCAAGGCCTTCAGCCCCCACCTCACTTCCCACAGCTGTAACACAACAGGGTGAACTCACTCGTGTGTTCAGGCACTGTGATGGTGTGGGCAACACTCACATTATAGCCCAGGGCCTTCATAATAAGGGGACAGAACTGGACCAAAACACCCTGTGTGATTTTCCCCAGGGCCAGGTTTGGAAGCACTGACTCCATACTGTCCTCCTAGGCCGGCTGCAGCCCAGCAAGCTGTGCTGACAGGGACCAGATCGGCGTTCCTCCAGGCATGGTGTTTCTGGAGATGAACCCCTGTCCAGCCCTCCTTAGATGGTCCTGGAGTGGCCCCCCCCACCACAAGACCCTGACCCACCACATGCAGGACTGCAGCCCCCCTTCGGTGGGCACTCAGGGGTATCCAGCACAACCCTCCCAATGGCCCTTCCATCACCTGCCACAGAAAAGGGTGGTCTGACCGTGAATAAAACATCACACATACTCATCCACTCTCTTAAAATCCCAAGCAGCTGGAGCCACACCAGCACACTCAGCAGAGGAAGGATGGGCAGATGTACATCTCAGCCCACTCCAGCCTGCTGCCATCTCAGCGAGCCAGTAAAGCAGATGCATTTCTTTCTGCTCTCATTTTCTTAGCGGGATCCGACTGATCCCTGGCTGCCTTAGACAGAGACAGGCTAAGCCTGGAACACTAGCAGGTTCCAGATATGGGCTGATGGAAGGATGCATCTATCCATCTCCTCTGGAGCAGGCAGAAGAGATGTGGTCACTGGTGCTCGAAGACTCTACACAATAATTTCACACGGCCCCCCGCTCCAAATCACCCAAAATCATTGAAATGTATGGGGGGGGCACACACTGAGAAACCCCACTGACTCCTTCCACATCCCCCAGCTAAAACCATCACTGCCACAATGGGCCCCCGTGCCTACAAAGGGGCCGGTTCAAAGTCAACGTCTCCCTTCCCCTCTGTCTGTATATGAAAGGACAAGGAATGCGTTTGAGGGCCGGGGGGCTGGGGGGGGGGGAATGGGGGGGAGGGGGGCCTGGGAGGCTTCCCGGGGGGATGGAGAGAAAAGTAGGTTGGCAGGAGGAGGGGTCCAGCCCGGGAACAATAAATCAAAGGGAAAGGGAGTTACTGCCTAGCCAAGGAGCTTCTGAAACGCTGGGCCGCAGCAGGAGCTCGGGCGGAGCGGGGCTGATGGCTGCCATCGGGGTCCCGCAGAGAGATTTCCTCTGCCCGCTGGCAGCGGGGCAGGCAGCAGCGCAGCGGGCAGTGGGCGGGTCTGCCCGCACAGCACCGGGCTCAGCATCTCAGCAGCACGGTAAAGGTATCCCTTGGCAGAGTGAATCCAGCCCCTGCTGGGGAAGGTGCTTCACCATTCTGGGCATGGGATCCCCGAGGTCCAGAAGCCACAGGGCTCACTCAGGGCTGCCCACGTCCCCACTAACAGGGTTTTGGATCCTTAGATCATTTTCCTGGGGCTGCCCTCCCTCCTGGAGCAGTCTGGCACAGCCAGGATGGGCAGCCTGGTACATGTCCTGCCACGCATCAGGAACATACTTTAATTTCAGCTCATCCATCGGGCCATTTTTTTTCCTACGAGGAATATCATCAGGAGGCTTAGTTGTTCCACTTCTCCTGACATGCAGCAGTGCCATGTGCTGAGCCAGGGGCTGCTGCTGGCATTGCGGATACCAGTCCCTGGATGCCAGCTGTGGGTATGAGTCTCTGTCTGCCAGCCCTTGGGTGCCTGTCCCAGGCATTGCTCCCCGGGTGCCAATCCCCGGGTTCCAGCCGCCTCAGCAGCCAAAGCAGCTGCTTCATAAACAGCATCAAGCACCTTCCCTGAGTTCCCCCGCCCACAGCCCCATTCCCATCCCGTCGCGGGGGAGGCTGCTCCAGCCTATCTCCTGGCCATATCTTCAGTGCGAGACGGCTGCAGCTCCCGGTAATCCGGGTTAATAAACAGGCAGCAGCGTCGGCAGCGGGATAACTCCCTGCATTGCTCCGGCTGGGATCACGGCGTGCTGGCTGGCAGAAAGAGCACTCCTCGCCTTGCTCCAGCTGAGGTCAGGGGGTGCCCACCCATGCTGTTGGTACCTGGCAGTATGCAGGAAGTGGCATCGGGCAGAGCCAAGCAGAGGCTGATGTCATGGCAGTGCTAAGATCGGGAAGCTGAGCCGGGAGGGAAGGAAAGAGGAAATGACTGGAGCCGAGCCAGCCCTGGTGAAGGCCCGTTGTGAAGGGCAGTGTGAAGGGAAAGGCTTTAAGACAGAGAAAATATGGAGTGTGCTTCAATGTGGAGCCAATAGACACAATAGTTGGGGCAGTAATTCTTTCTCAGGCAGCACACTTGGAGCTCTGAGGTCCCAGGGACAGACACGCTCCCCCAAGCCACAACCCTTCTCTGCAGAAAGAGGAGTGTAATGGTGAGACTGTAAGGGGCCTCGAGAGCCTCAGCTCTGTCCATGCTCCCCAGGAAGCTAAGGCTCAGTAAAGAAGACCAGGCATTAAGAGGGGCAAGAGGTGATGGTCAAGCCCTGGACCACCCCTGCTGCTGCACGATGACACCGGCATCTCGCGGCTTGTCCTCTGTACTGGGGACAAGCGGCTGCCACAGCTGGATGGGCTGCCCTCACACCAGCCCGTGGCTGCTGTTCATGCCTCCAATAGCTGCCCAAAGCCATCCCGTTTCTTGTCTAGACTCCGCAGCGCCGGGGGTTCCCAGGTGGGAAGACCCGTGGCTGCTGCTGTCCTAACACTGGCGCGGTGCCCTCCGAACAGCGTGGGGCCGGAGCGGTTGCGAGGGCCGTGAGTGTCCTCGAGTCCCCCAGGCGTGGAGGGGGTTGTGAGACCCCGCGGCAAGATCGGTGTCCTCCCCCTCCCAGTCCCATCGGGGCCGTCCCGTCCACCTCCCCGCCGGCGCTGGGTGCGGGCCGGCGGAGCCCCCTCCCATAGCACCTTTTCTCCGTGCCCCCCGCCCCCCTGGGGGATCAAGTTCACGCCCGACCCACCGATGCGGGGCCCAATGGGGCCGGGGCCCATCTCCATCCGGCCCGGCCCGTCCGCGCCACTCTCAGAGGCCCCAGCGGCGCCCCAGGAGGGAGGCAGCGGCCGGCAGCCCCCGCATGGAGCCCTAGGGCAGCGGGCGGCGGGCAGCATGTTCAGCCCGGACGGGGGGCTGCCGGCCGCCCCCTTCGGCCTTCTGACCGACGCCGGACCTCCCTTCCCCCGCGGCAGCTTCGACGGAGCGCCCGCTCAGCCGCTCTTCTTCCCCTTCGCCGCCACCGCCGAGCCCGAGCCCGCCCGCGACCCGCCGCCGGCCCGCGCCTGGCTGCCCCCGCCCGTGCCCGCGCCGCCCGCCAAGGTGGAGGCGCGCCCGGGCCGGCCCTGCAGCCAGCCCGAGTCCGAGCCCCGCGCCGCCGCTTGCTGCGGCCCGGCCTGGCCGCCCCCGCCCTGGGCCGGGCCGGCGCCCTCCGGCCCCGCCGCCCTGCCCGGGCCGCCCTTCCCCGGCCCGGCTGCCCCTGCCTTCCCCGGCCCCCAGCTCTGCCCCTCCGCGCTGCAGCCGGGCTCCGGCGGCCCGTCGGGGCTGGGCAGCAGCGGCAGCTCCAGCGGCGCCGCCAGCGAGGGCGGACACTCCAGCGACAGCGGTGAGGAGGTGAGACCCGACGGGACGGGGACGGGGCGGGTTGCCCTGCCCCGCTCCCGCCGGCTGCTGCACACGGTGTACCCTGGGGCTTTCCTTCCCGTCTGGAGCCGCGGTTCACCGCCCCGTCGGCAGGAGCTGCCCGGCTGCTCTCGTGTAGCGCCGAGACCTGCCGGTGCCACCTGTCGGGGCCCGCCGTCGGGCGCCCCCGGGAGAAGCCCTGACTCAGCGTTGGGGCTCGTCCCGCATGTGTCAGAGTCTCCGCAGGGCGAGAGCCTTGGGGAGGCTGCTTTGGGGTAAGACAGGGAGTTTTAGGAACTTGGGAGAGCAGCTTCCCGAACGCGATGCGGCGGGGCCGTCCCGGGTAGCGACGTCGAAGGTCGGCTCCGGCGTGATACTCGGGGCAGCGCAGCGCGGTCACCGAGGGCTCCTGGCCAGCCCCCTCAGTCCCCTTCGGTCGGCTGCGTCCCCCGCGCCGCTCTCGGAGCTCCACGGGCACTGAAGTTTGCTGGGGCAGAGACAGCCTGGGGATGAGGGCGGGAGGAAGACGGGGGCAGCAGAGCTCGCTCCCCGCACGACTAATTTTGTGGTTTGGGCTAGTTTTGATATTTAATATTTTTCAATCTTGACGTATCACGATCCCGCCCCGGGGAAAGCAGCGGCGGCCGATGCCGGGGACTGGCCCCTGACGGGGTTGGGGAGGATTCGCACTGCCGCCAGCGGGTCGCAGCTGCGGGAGGTCCCACGCCACGATCGATACGTGTGTGTCCTCGGGCCGCAACCGGCCGCTCTGGGTGGGAAGTGGTCATGAATGGCATTTTGTAGCTGCGGGACGGTGATCTGGGACCGCATCCCTCCTCCACGGGAGGGATGCTCTTGAGTTTACCGGTGCTGATTATACGCCAGAATTTACTAGCCGTGGCTCGGTGACAGGAAAAACTCCTGAATAACCCGAAACCCCGCTGAAAACGTGTAAATTGGGTAAAGAGCTTCATAATGACCCCGTTGAGGCTGAAGGCTGTTTGGCAGGAAGGTGGGGAAGCGCCTGGGTAGCCGCTTGCCAGAACGAAAGAGCTGGCTGGTAGCAAAGAGGCGCTTCAAATTAACGCGGTTCAGGGGCGCTTTTGTCTCTCTTAACGGGAGTCTTCCCTGCTCCGGACGCAGGAAAAGGGAGAGAGGCTGGTGAGGGGCTGCCTCAGCCCGAGAGCCATGGGGAAGTAAATCGGACAAACCTGGGACTCGGCCAACGTGATCATTGGTGCTGCCTCTGGCCAGGTCAGGGAGGCACGAGCCAGAGGACAAAAGGGACATTTCCAAGGCGTGTTAAAGCAGAGCAGGAGCTCTTGGTGCCCTTGTGCTACTCTTGGCCGCCGCCGCGCCAGATCGGGTCGAGCTGAGCAGTGTGCGTGGCCGGGGTGGGTCCTGTGTGAGCTTGGTCGGTGTCAGTGCTCGAGGGCTCAGCCGAGCCCTCCTCTGCCGCTGTCCTTCGGGAACCCAAACAGACCTCGGACCCTGGGCACGATTTGTCCCTTCTCAGTGTCTTTCTGCCCTTGCCAGGATGCGCCAACCTCAGGAGAGCTGGAGCAGTTCGCCAAGGACCTCAAGCACAAGCGCATCATGCTGGGCTTCACCCAGGCTGACGTGGGGCTGGCGCTGGGCACCCTCTACGGTGAGGGGTCGGGGGTGGGGGGGAGGAAAGGCCCTCGTGTTACCCCACAGCCGGTGGGAAGGGAGAGGCCCGCGAGGGATTTGAAATTACTTGGGATAATGAATTCTGCTCCTTAACGACCTGCAAAGGAGGCATCAATCTCCAGTCCTGGGCTGGGGCTCCCGGAGGGGTATCTCCAGATCTGTGGTGAGAAGCTTCGAGCTCACGGGAACTGGTTTAAAATAGCTGCTACAGTTGCTTATTGAGACATATTTCAGGGCTTTAAATCCCTGTTGAAGGAACGGGGAGAATGCCTTTCCTGGTCTCCCAGGAACAGGGCAAGCTTGGGGGTGGTGATCCTGGGATGCTGCTGGCGAGGGAAGCTGTGTGGTGTGTAATGCCCTGCCTGCCTTGGCCGTGCAGGGAAGATGTTCAGCCAGACAACCATCTGCCGCTTCGAAGCGCTCCAGCTCAGCTTCAAGAACATGTGCAAGCTAAAGCCGCTGCTGCAGCGCTGGCTCAACGAGGCGGAGAACACGGACAACATGCAAGAGGTGCAGGGCTGAGGGGGCTGGGAGCCGGGTACCTGCAAGTCCTGAGCCACAGATTGTCCTCCCTCTCCCACGTGCTTTCAGAGGGAATAGAGAGGAACAGAAGGCATCTTGTGGCACAGCACCATCTTGCTGCATGGCTTAAGTCTGGCTTGAGGGCAAACCACTGGGTATCACCTTCTGTCAGGTTGGGGGGAGGAAGCCCAATCCCCCTGCAGACATGTTGTGGTTGTGACAGCTCCCATTTTGAGTAGCCAGGTCCTGCTGGAATCTCAGACAGGTTATGCTGCTTGAGCTCCGTGGGGAACCTGGGGAGGATGCAGAAAGATGTGTCCAGCCTCACTGCTGGCAGTGCTGGGACACTGGGAATGGCCCCAGTCACAGTGGAATGATGCTCACTGGAGAGTCACAGGGACACAGTCTGTGCCCCAAGCTCTGCAGCCAGCTGCACGTGTTCCAAGCCTGGTGGAGACTCTTCCACCTGATAACAAAACAAATTCCCTCTCTCATTCCCAGATGTGCAATGCAGAGCAAGTACTAGCCCAAGCCCGGAAGAGAAAACGCAGGACCAGCATCGAGACCAACGTGAAAGGGACACTGGAGAGCTTCTTCCGCAAATGTGTGAAGCCCAGTCCCCAGGAGATCTCTCAGATCGCTGAGGACCTCAACCTGGATAAAGATGTAGGTTGGGAGGGTGGGGAGGGTGGATGCCCTAATGATGCCAGCTCCTGAGAGTTTGATACTTTAGATCAGAGCAAAAATGAAATACACATGAAGAGCTGTATAAAAACTGCCCTTTAGCCATGCCAGACAGTTAGGATATATATGGCTCATCAATATGAAAAAGAAAAACCCACTTGGTTCCAGAGAAGACTTTTGTTCACAGATTAAACATTTAAAACTTCAGAGAGACAAAAATAGTTCCCAGACCCAGCTACAGGCATCTGTGTTTGTGTGTGTATGTACATAAATATGTGAAAGTAATCGATAAAAGTAATCCTTTGATACTAATTCATCTCCGAAGAAGTTGATTTTTGATCCCAAGAACCCACATGGATAGTTACAATGTTTTTCCCCTGAAATGGAAATGCGCCAGAAGAGACAAACCACATCCCACTAACAATGCACAAGTTTGCACACTGGCTTCATCTGGCTATGCTACCAGCCTTTGGAGAGCAGCCTTTCTTTTGATTTGTTATCTTTTTTCCTATTTAACATTTGCCATTTTTGTCATCTTCAACTCTGGAAGTAGTGCAAAAATGGTCATGGCTGAAGTTTGCTTCGGCTGAGCCTAGCAAGGACTTGTGACAGGGAGGGCGCTACACTGGCAGGTTTGGGTGCTGTGGAGATGCCACCAGCAGAAGGGTCTCCTTGTCACCCACATGGTGTGCCTGGGTCAGCCCTTATCCTTCTCTGTCTCCCTTCCCACAGGTGGTCCGGGTCTGGTTCTGCAACCGGCGTCAGAAAGGCAAACGGCTGCTGCTGCCCTACGGCAACGAGGCAGAGGGGATGATGTATGACATGAACCAGCCCCTGGTGCCCTCCACTCTGCCCATCCCAGTGACGTCCCAGGGCTACAGTCTGGCACCCTCCCCCCCTGTCTACATGCCGACCTTCCACAAAGCTGAGATGTTCCCACAAGCGCTGCAGCCTGGGCTCTCCATGAGTAACAGTGGCCACTGAACCAGGGGCTGTGGGCTCACTGCAGGTGGGCTGGTGCTCTGAGGCAGCCCCCCTTGCCTTTGGGTCACACAGGCATAGCCCTGCTTCTGCTTGCTGGGCTGATGTGTGCGGCTTTTGGGGTGCAAGGGGCTGAGAGCCTGACCCAGGGATGGTGCCTGCTCTCTGCAGATGCTCCCAGCCCTTCCCTGTTCTGTGAGCTTACTGGTCCCAGCAGCGTGGGCCCCCCTCCCGACCTCTCCTGGAGCCAGCTCCTCCTGCCCTACTGCACCCTCTGAAGCCACATGTGCCCAGTGCTCTTGAGTCCGTGCCTGGCCCCAGCCCAGCCGCTCTCCTGCAAGACGCAGAAAAAAATATTTTTTAGATTTTGGGAAGGGTGGGGGGAGGTGGCGGTTTTATTATTTTTTAAAAGGTTTTTTGTTGTAGTTTTTAAAAAGCAAAAGTTTTTGTAGTGATCTAGTTTCCCAGGTGTCTCCTTCCGCCCTGTCATGTAGAGAAGGGCTGGGGTGCCCATGCCCAGGGCCAATGGCTCTGGTGGCTCTGCCCACCCTCCTGGGCGGCCAGGATGAGCCAAGGGCCGGGGCAAGGGGAGAAGGGGAGCCCCCCACCACCCCTCACCCTGTGGCACAAAAGAGCTTCACTGCTCTGTGGAGCAGCTGATAAGGTGTGTTCGGGATGGGGGGTCCTCCCCAGTGCTTTGTGCCCAGCATCACCCCCAGCCCCCCCCGCTCTCCAGCCGCTGTCCCCCAGCCCAGCTGCCCAGAGACCACCTTTCCCTGGAGGGCCCAGCCCAGGGGGCCTACACCACCCTTTCCATGCTGCTAGCACCCCACACCTTCCAGCCTGCTGTAGTTAATAATGATTTTTATATTTTTTGTTCTTAATCACATTCCCTCTGGCAGTGAAATAAACCTCAGAGTTCTTTGAGGCAAGAATGAGTTAAACATTTCCTAGCCTTCCTCGCATCCCTGCTCCTGCAGCCCAGCAGTCGGGGGTTGGCTGCATGCAGGAGCACAACAGGGCTGGAGCAAGGCATCCTAAGAAGGTGGACATGTCCCTGTCATTGCCAGCAACATTCAGCTCTTGGCTGCCTGCAGCTTGGCCTCCCTCCATGACTGGTGGCAGCTTGGCCCTTGAGTGGTACCAACTTGTCAGGGCTGTTGCCCCTCAAAGCAGAGGGGGTCATCTTCCACTCAGTTCAAGCTGCTGGTTTGCTGTAACTTTCTGGGAAGGTTGGAAGCAGTGTGAGCTTACTTGTAGACTGCTCCAGCAGCTGACAGGGACAGAGCAGGACTAAGGGTGTAATGTAGCAGGGTAGGAAGTGAAGAGGTCTGGAAAGCTGGGGCTGTCCTCATGGTATTATGGTGCTGACAGGGGAGGGATGGATGTTCCCATATGTGTGGTCCAGCTGAGGCAGTCTCTGGTGGGGTGATAACCCAGCCATGCAGGTCCATGTGGCGCTGGGAGCTGAACTGGTGGGAGCGGAGATGTCTGGGGGATGACCCTTCACTTTTTCCCACCACACTGTCTGTTGGCTTGCTCCCAGTCCATTCTCTCAAGGCCCCTTCCCCAACCAAAGCTGTAGGGAAATCTGGAAAGCTCTGTTTTTTCAGCTTGATGGGTGATAACTGGGGCTTTGCTCTCTAGGGCTTCCTGCAATAGGGGCAATGAAGGCAGCTGCTCACAGGGCACCTTGGGACCCTGCAAAAGGGCTGGGCTGGGCGAGATTCCAGACTTATGGGGCAGGGCCCCTCTGCATCCCTGCTTGCTCCCCAGAGCCTCCTAGTTGCCTGCCCACAGGGTAGGGGCACAGCCATGTGTGGCATCCATTGGAAACTGCCCCCTGTTGCTGCTGCCCAGTGCTGCCTGGCACTTGAGGGGTGCAGGAAGCTGGCAGGGTCAGGAGCAGAAATATGAGACAGATGTAATCTCTCAAAGGTTTACTTCTCCACATTTCCACTATCTGGTTTTCTGCATGCAGCCACACGAGAGCTGCAGCCCACCATGGGACCCCCACATCCTGCTACCTTGGCACCCCCTGCCCATGAGTACCCAGCATCTGTCTGTGGGCACCCGCAGCCCCTCCTGTTCCGCTTCTGGTTGACCTAGAAAACGAAGCGGAAATCTGAAGCCACAGAAGTCAGAAGAGCACAGCGTGCCCATCCAGCTGCCACCTCACTGGGGCTGTGCCAGGGAAGGGATGTCCCCTCTGCTGACTCTGGGTGCTGCCAGTCCTGGGCGCCCAGCAGCTTGCAGGGTGGTAGAGATGGGGTTTGGTGACTTAAGGGCCACAGGAAAGAAAACTGGAAAGGAAGCTTGTGACAAAAAGAATTGTTTACATCAAGGGAGTTAAAGGCACTGAGAAGGGGCAAATAGCAAGAGATGGAGCAGTAATGTCGTGCCCCTTGTCCTGGTGCTCAGCACTGACAGCACCACCGATCTCAGATGGGTACTTGGGATGCTGGTGGTGCAGGGTGCCCTCTGTGTCGGGTGTGCAGGGTTTCCCCAGTGCAATGTGCATGTGCAAGTTGCCCATGAGACTGGCTTTAATTCAGGGTTGTGCAAGCCTCCAGAGGCTGTCAGCTCACTGGCTTCCTGTCACAGCAGGGAGGGAGTGACAAACCACAGTGTCCCTCTGCCTGCCTGCCTGCCTGGCAGCACTGAGATTGCTCTGAGAGCATCCGCTGTCCTGTGGCTCCTCACTGGCACAGTGGCACCCATGGCTCAGGGGTGGGGGACAGGAAATGGGTGTTACCAGGAAGAGGGGGAGCAGATGCTGTCCTTCCTCCCTGGCCATGGGGTAATGGACCCCCCTGGGTTGACACCCACTCCAGCCCAGCCACAAATGTCACCACAGGGCCTCTGCTGCCATGACTGGCACTCAGCAGGTGCTGGGGGGGACATTAAGGATCACAGGAGAAGGTTGGGGAGCCCTGAACCACCCACCACCCCCCTGCCCTGTCCACACCGCATGCACAGCCTCAGCAGCACTATGCCATTTATTTCCAAAGCACCTTCTGGTCCTGCCAGCACCTTGGCAATGTGTTCAGTGTTAGGTTGGGGTGATAAGTCCTGTTTCACAAGAAGTGAAATCATAAGTTGCTTGAAGTCCCAGTGTGACAACAGCTGGGTTAGGAGGAGAGTGGGGGCTCCTGTCGTTGCTTCACATTCTGTGTGCAGGTGGGTGCCTCACGCACCTCCCACCCCGCCTGCATTCATCCCAAGGGTCCCAGCACACACTAGGAGTTGAACCAGCTCTGCAGGTCAGGATAGAGGTGGCCATGGCGCAGGCGGGGGTAGGCCGTGCAGATGGCACAGATCCGCTCCCTCCAGTCAGTGTAGAGTTTCACACTGAACCTCCTCTGCCAGGCAAAGAACTGCCGGTAGCGGCTGGAGTTCATGGTCTTCAGGAAAGTGGCCAGCTCCTCCAGGGAGCCAAAGTCGTTGACATGGATGAAGGAGTCTGCAGGAACAAACTGCTCATAGTTGGCCCTGGATGGCCCCAGCACCACAGGCACGGTGCCGGCCAGCAGTGAGTTCCTCCAGAGTTTCTCTGTGATGTAGTCCCGGTGGATGGAGTTCTCAAAGGCCAGGTAGAACTTGGACTTGGATACTGTTGACAAGAGGCAGTCCTTGCAGAGGGGCTTGTTGTTTGCTTTCCCATATATATTCACATGGAGGTACCTGGAGAGGTTTTTGTAGACTTCGGCTCTTTTCTGAGTCTTGTGGTAGTTGCTGATAACCCAGGACACCAAGTTGGTCTTTGCAGGGATGTTCACAGTGGCTGACCGGTTGGGCACAAGCTTGCCATAGGGGATGAAGATGTCTGAATCCTGTCTGTAGGTCATCACCCAGTTGAAGGTCTTGTTCCATGCTGCTAGAGCTCTAGTGTTGGAGGGGGACTCCAGGGACACCCATACCCAGTTCTGCCCTGGCAGCCTCTCCTTGGGTAGTTTGTCCCGGCCAGGCTGGAGCCTGGAATGGGGGAACACCACCACATCAGCCTGGTGCAGGAGCTGCCGCTCTGTGGTGAGCTGGCAGCCTGTGATGCTGTACAGCTCACGGCACACGTCTCTGCTGACATTGGGGACCTGCTTGGAGGGCCATTCCCACACTAGGATCATCAATGGCTCCCTGTGTTTAGACTCTTCTCCAGAGCCCTTGGAGGGGTTGAGGAAGAACCTCAAGTTCCAGAGGGTGGTTACAAACACCCCAGCAGTGACCAAGGCTTTCACACCAGGCCGTCCCCATGGTGACCATCTCAGCGGCAATGCCCAGGGCATGCTGGTGGGTTGGCTATCGCCTCATCGGGTGACAGAGCTGACACCTGTGAGAGAGGAGAGGCTCCTGAGGACCATCAGCTCGGCTTGCCAGGGACGAGGGGTGATGGGGAGGCACTGTGGCCAGAGGGGCCAGAGAAAGGGCTTCTTCATGAAGCCTGGGCCTCAGCATCACCCCAGGACCCTCTGCTTCCCTGTGCCACAAAATTCCCCATGCACATGCTTTCACCCCAGGGTGGCCTTTGATAATGCTCTTGTAGTCCCTTGTGACTTTTGGGGGAGCACAAATGCTGCTGGGAGGTGCAGAGTTGATGGGAAGGAGCCACATCTGCCCCTCTGCCCCGCCTGGCTGGCCCCACTACAGACAGTCCTTGCTTGCTCTGTGCCTCAGCTTCCCCACCAGACACACAACCACAGTCTCAGTCCTTCTTGCTTTGCCCAGAATAGGTCAAACCTGATAATTAGCCAGCCTTGCCTCTGCTGTGCACCAAAGGACAAGAAGGAGTGTCCCAGTCCCAGCTGAATAGCCCCATGGTGACGCCTTAGCTGCGAAATGGGGTGACTGACTCTGAAGTCCAAAACTCTGATGAGGGCCAAGTTTGGCAGTGCCCTGACCAAGAAGGGCCCACTCACCCCAGCATTCTCCTGTGACAATGGCAAGGAAATTGCCAGGCTCAGGGTGCCCTCCCCAAGTCAGGATGCACTCCCCAGTCCCTAAGGGCA